ACAACACCATGACACTTCCTAAAATGAAATGATAAGAGTTTCTGTCTTGTCTACATGGGTATATCTCTATGACAATAAAAGCTATGGAAAGGTTGCTAAGGAGAGAACATGTCAGACATTGCTAGCACACTTACGTCACTAATAACTACAGTTACAAAAATATTAGCAAGACTTTGAGGTATTGGTGGCCTGAGTGTAGACAAAGAACACAAGATAATCTCTAGGCTAAGCAGCCTCTCAGGACAGTGGTAGAAATGTTCTGCTCTGTGTTGGTATGGTGCCTGCTGGCCACTGGAGACTGAACATGTGGCTTCTATCATAACTCAGCATGGCTCCATTCAGCCCTTGGTTACCATACTGTGACATGTATTTCTGCAGTATGCGTTTCCTTTGCTCTTAGCCTAGTCCTCACAGTCACACTTCTCAGGGAGGATGTAGCTTGTGGGAAAAGATAAGTAAAGGAGGGAAGGAAGGAGGGAGGAATGGAAGGAAGGAGGGAGGGAAGGAAGGGAGGGAGGGAGGAAGGAAGGAAGGAAGGAAGGAAGGAAGGAAGGAAGGAAGGAAGGAAGGAGAAAGCCTTAACCCGAAGAACATACAAGAAACAAGGTAGAGATGAATTGAGACCTGCCTGCCAACCACAAGGACTCTGGGTGGAGGTAACTGGACAGTGAGATTGAACTTCCGGAGCAGGCATCCCATTTGGATTTGTTCTTGGGAAGTGCTGCTTCCTCATAATAGAAGATGCACACTAAGCGTCTTCCCTACTGCTCCAGAATTTTCCAGATGTCTGTCATGTGGAAATGTCATCTCTGCTCTCTTCACTGAAGAAGTCTACGTAGTTCCACACACTCCATGAACTCTTTGTTTCAGATTAGCCTAGCATTCTCTACAGTCAGGAGTTAATGCCATATGAGTTAGCATCTGTCTATTCCTTTTTCTTATATTAGAAACTTTATTAGGGTTAGAAAAGGACATTAATGGTTTCTCTTAGGTGATTGTAATGTCCTCTAGAAAATTATTCATTTTTGCTCACTTTTTTTTTTCTGAGTCAGGGTCTCTTGTATCCCTGACTGATCCCAAACCTGCATAATTGAGGCTGATCTTGAATTTGTGGCCATATACTCATCTCTCAAATGTTCTGTTTACTGGTGTGTGGTACCATACCACACCCCAGATTCTTAAATTATTCAGATGTCCAGAGTTACCAAGTAGAATATTTCCATTTTTTCCCAATAAAAGATAGTCTAGATTTTTCAAAGTGGTTTTTCCATAAGACATTTCTTGAATTGGCTTTCCATGAGAAGTTTTTCATTTTATCATGTTTGAACAATGAACTAGTTCATTTAATTGCTTTGATATTCACTTACATAATTTTTAAGATTACAAGTTAATTTTTTACTAGATTATTTAGTGAAAATTAGTGAGTTAATTCAGGGCTTGCATAAAATATTGGAGATTGTGACATAATCAAAAACTTATGTAAGCTTGGTTTCTGAAAATACTCAGTCACCAGTAAATAGGATGATAAGTTGACATTTTTCACTTGTAGAATAATGTAGTGTCACAATATTTATACCTTTTAAATACGTATTTTAAGATTTATAATATTTTCTCTCTAGATTTTTGCTGCAGTGTCTTGAGGATCTTGATTCCAATCTACGAAAATTAAATTCTCGTCTGTTTGTGATTCGTGGACAGCCAGCTGATGTGTTTCCCAGGCTTTTCAAGGTAATTTGAAAAATATCTACATAAATAATGATCTTTGCCAGAGAAGATAAAATACTTGGTAAATAAGGCCTTTTTAGCGTAAGTGTGGGGAAGTAGTGTTATTTTTATAACTTTTTACTGATTCTTTGTGGATCTCACGTCATGCATCCTGATCCCATTCATCTCCCTATCCCTTTGTATCCTCCCTCTGTCCTTGCAACCTCCCCTCAAAATAAAATAAAAATCTTGTTGTGGAAGATGGAGTGTGACACAGTGAGTTGCACAGTACCCCCTTTAGTCCATACGTCTTTACTTGTAAGTGTTCATTGCAAAGAATTACTGGTGTGGTTCAAGGCCTCTGGTTTCTGCTACACTATCAATGCTGGGCCCTCAGTGGGACTCCTATTGGATCTCCATTGTTGCCCTGTGTCATGGAGATCCTACAGCTTTGGGTCTGCAGGCGCAGCCCCTCCACATGCTCCAGCCCTTCACAGAAGGGGTGGATGTTGGGTGCCCCAATTCTCAGCCCTTGTTCTGGTCTTGGGAGGTGCTGGGTTGGTCAGCCCTCCTGCTCTCCCCATGGTCACCACCAGGGTGAGCTCTCCAGCACTGCCCCAGCTAACTCACTAATGGAGGCTGCAACAAGAGGTAGGGCCAGCTCCCCCATCACCTGCACCCACCACCAGGGCCAGCTCTCCTGCTCTCCTAACAAACACCAGGGCCAGCTCTCCCGCTCTCCTAATACCAGGGCCAGCTCTCCCATGCTCATGTTCTTGAGGCTGGCTCACCAGGATCATCTCTACTCTGCTGCCCAGAGGAAATAGTATTTTTAAATTTAAAACAAATAAAGAAAAACTTGTGGCTTTTCTTTAGTGACAATGTTAATAGTAAAACTAGACATTTGAAAAGCTTAAAATGAGAAGTTCCTTCTTTGACCTCAGACTTAGTTCTCCCAGCCAAAGCAGCAGCTATTTGCATTTCTAATGTATGCAAATTGAAATATCCTTTTACGAATAAGAATTTGTGTGTGTTTAACCATCCATGTGTTTGTGTCTGTGTTAATTGTTCTCTGCTTTAACAGTCAAATGAGAACATTCTGTATACAGTCTTCTGATACTGCCTTATTCATATGTTGGAGGACATTTCATTATTTCCAGAGTCTTTTGTATCAACACGTGTAAGTGTATTATAATTTCATTTGCTGGTTTCCTTCGGCATGTTCAGATTATCCTTCCGTTAGGCCTCTTGCTAATATAGTTATTAGCAAGTTAATTATAGTTCACTGGCAAGTGAACCTCCTTGTTCACACTGATGTTCCTTTGTGAGTTTAGTTTAGTTTTGTTTTACAGAGGGCAGTGATGATTAATCTCCATTGTCAACATGATATTTAGAATCAGCTGGGAGACGGGCCTCTGACCATGACTTTGGGGGGTTGTCTGGACTGTGTTAACTGAGGTGGCAAGACCCATCCACTATGGATGGCGCCATTCCTTGGCTGGGACCCTGGACTGTGAATGGAGAAGGGGGACTGAGAAGCAGCGTGGTTCATCACTCTCTGCATCCTGACTGTGGATGCAGTATGATCAAATTCAGTCAAGGGACTGTGAACCCCAGTAACGTCTCCTTTCTCCCTTAAGTTGCTTGCATCAGATTATCTTACTACAGCAACAGAAAAAGTAACTAAGCCAAGGGCTTCCTGGGTCAAAGGAGTACAACATTGACATTTTACCAGTAATATAAAATTGTAGCATTGGGGGTTTACCAGTAATATAAAATTGTAGCATTGGGGGGAAGGGGGTTGTTTTGGTTTGATTTGATTTGATTAGAAAGACTCTTACTGGTCTCCTGTGAAAACTTCTGGAAATCTTGGTCTAAGAGAAATTAGTGAATTGTCCAAGATCATACAGTTAGCTCATCTAATAATCTTAGGCAAATTGGTTTTCCTGGCAGTCCTTTTGTATTCTTCCCTTTCTACTTGCTACACATATGCTTCCTAGCTATGTATCTGCTTATGTTGCAGCTGTTTGGTATATCATATTTTTTAAATGGCTTTTTTTTTTCCTGAATTTTCAAGGAAGGGTTTCTCTATGTAACCCTGACTCTCCTGGAACTCATTCTGTAGGCTAGGCTGGCCTTGAACTCAGAGATCCGTCTGCCTCTGCCTCCCTGGTGCTGGGATTAAAGGTTTCTGCCACCATGTCCAGCAAAAATGGAAGTATTTTTAATACAAAAGAGACATTGCAACCGGGCGGTGGTGGCCCATGTCTTTAATCCCAGCACTTGGGAGGCAGAGGCAGGTGGATCTCTGAGTTTGAGGCCAGCCTGGTCTACCAAGCGAGTTCGGAGAGAGGGGGGGGAGGGAGGGAGGGGGGAGGGGGAAGGGGAGAGAGAGAGAGGGAGGGGGAAGGGGGGGAGAGAGGGGGGGATTGCTTTTTCTGAATTAGGTCTCCAGATCAATTTTACCTAACTTTCCTTTTTGGCTAGTATTAAAGAAACATTTAATACTTATCTAATTTAACAGTCGTAACTAGTAGAAACTGTTTACTACTGTAGAATTCTCATTTAACCTAAGTATATGTATGAGTTTTGACAAGAAAGCAGACTGGAAATAATGGTAATACCTCATCCACAGCTCATAAAAATGAAAATCAGGGCATCAGTCCTGTCTCTAAATCTATTTGGTTGAAAATATCTTAAGATTTCGCTTATTACAAATACTAAGATTCTTATTTTGTTTTTAAACAAACTTTTTCACAGGTCAGCAACTTTTTTGTATTGTGTTGAATTTTCTGCATTGGGACTGGAGAGAGGGTTCAGTGATTAAGATACTGCTCTTCCTGAGGACCTGAATTTGGTTTCTAGTACCCACATAACAGCTCATAATTTGTAACTCCAGTTCCAGGGCAATCCAAGTGCCCTCTTCTGGCCTCTGAGGACACTGCATGCATTGTGAAGAACTTCATACATGCATGCAAAATACTCATACACATAAAATAAAAATGAATTCCAATATGTATTTTTATAATTTTTCTTTTGGTAGAGTACCATCTTATTGTATCAAGCTTCCTTACACAGAGTCAGTGAGATGGCTTAGCAGGGAAGAGCATTTGTCACCAGATCTGACAACTTGAGTTTGATATCTGGACCCACATGGTGAAAGGAGAAAAGTGACTCCTGAAGCTGTCCTCTGACCTCCATGGGTGTTATAATACATGCATGTGCACTGTCTTGGTACACGCTAAAGTACATTGTTAACTAATGTAATAGAGGTACAGACACGGAGAGAGCCTTTATTTATTCTGCTACATAAAAATGTCTTTATTAAAGTGCCACTTTCAAATATCCCCTTTGGGTTTATTCATGATGTCATCAGCAGTTTGGTGTAACTGGTATTTGCAGACCAGGACATTCAAGAATCACAAAATAGGCATTCATTTCTGACACACAGAGAACATCACCAAAGTGGAGCACACTCACCTTAAAAGAGACATGAGAAAAGTGCAGACAGCTGAAGTCCACAGATTTCACTCTCTGACTTCAAGAGAATTAAATTTTAATAAATAACAAGAGAATGCCAAATATGTGTAGCCCCCAGCAGTACTCAGGAAAGTTTATAGTTTTTCAATATTATTATAGAAAGGAGGAAAGAACTAACTTTTCACCTTCAAGATGGAAGAGCAATAAATTAATCCAATCACGAAGTAGAGGAAAGGAAACCATAAAGGACTGAAGGTAGGGAAACAAGGCAGCTGAGAAAGCGTCACCCGTGCAGACAGGGAAACAAGGCAGCTGAGAAAGCGTCACCCGTGCAGACAGGGAAACAAGGCAGCTGAGAAAGCGTCACCCGTGCAGGCATCAGCTGTTGTGCTGCTGTCTGACCCCTTTGTGCCCTGCACGGAGGCATGAGCTGGGCACTACGTGTTCTCCTTTTCGCCTTTCAGTGGCCATTGCTCGTTGTTCTGTGCAGAGAAGTAGCTTCCTAGAAACAGAACAGTTGGTGTGTGAATTAATATATTTTATATTCAGGAAACATTCTTCTCTCTAGCTTTTCAGTTTTTCTTATAGAGAGATGTTCACTAATTCATTCCCAGAGAAGAAATGAGTGACATGTTGATGAGCTTAGGAGAAAGAACTGGGTGAGTGTGGCGCACACAGTCCCTTTTCTCTTCCTTACACATGTAGTCTCTTCTGTGCACTGTCTGAGAGCAACAGCCCATAATGTTAGGGAGGCTCTCCTTGTGACTGACAGGGTAGGGAATGTTAAGTACTGCTTGCTGCCCAGTTCAGCAGTGAACTGTCAGGCAAAATAATTTGTCCTTAAGCCTCATGACGCCTAAGCTTTTCTAACAGTGCTGCTTATGTTTTTACCTTTAGCTCGCTGACCTGTGTGCCTGATTTAAAAAAAACAGAATTATCAGGGAGTATTATTGACTCGCCTCAAACATTTAACATCCAGAATATTACTTCTCAAAACTGTATAAAACTAACTGCAAGATACTCATTAGGCAACAGGTCTTCTTGACTTACACAATAAAGGGCTGTTCTTGTTAAATTTCAAAAAGCCACAGTTACAACAAAATCAAGAGGACATTGACTACAATGCACAAAGTGTATTTGTGGAAACCGTGCTGCTTAGGGCTCACGGTGCCTGGTGCTTTCTGTCCACTACTACATGATGCAGGCCTGGGGGCAGTGTCTACACCGTGAGAGTGCTCCCCAGGCCTGTGGGCAGTGTCTACACCGTGAGAGTGCTCCCCAGGCCTGGGGGCAGTGTCTACACAGTGAGGAGTGCTCCCCAGGCCTAGGGGCAGTGTCTACACAGTGAGGAGTGCTCCCCAGGCCTGGGGGCAGTGTCTACACAGTGAGGAGTGCTCCCCAGGCCTGGGGGCAGTGTCTACACAGTGAGGAGTGCTCCCCAGGCCTGGGGGCAGTGTCTACACTGTGAGAGTGCTCCCCAGGCCTAGGGGCAGTGTCTACACAGTGAGAGTGCTCCCCAGGCCTGGGGGCAGTGTCTACACTGTGAGAGTGCTCACTAGGCCTGGGGGCAGTGTCTACACTGTGAGAGTGCTCCCCAGGCTTGGGGGCAGTGTCTATACAGTAAGGAGTACTCACCAGGAGAATCTCAACTTTCACTGTTGTGTGTTTTACTACTCGTCTGTACTACTAGTCTTAACATGAAACATGTATGTGTACACTATGCTTTCTACTCTCATTTACATTTTATTCTTAAATTTTAAAGCTAGCATTTGTACTAGCAAATATGAACAAGACAGCAAAATTATATTCTCTCCTCAGTTCTGTTTGAAGGTAAACAACTATTAACTGTTGTTACATTCCAGGCCTTCAAGAAAGGAAAAACTGTTAAATGCTTTATTTTTCTCCTAGTAATTTCAAAGACATCTTTAAAAGATAGCTGTTATATACAGCTGGCAATCACTCTGGTACTGCTGATGGGAATATAAGTCAAAACAACTGAAAATGTGCCCAGCTATCTGAGCTCTAAATGTGCTTATGTTTAATCCATCACTTTTTCCTAGGATTATTTGTAGGAAAATAGGATAAATGCTTAAATATGCTTTAAATGTATGTACTGGGCTATAGACATGGCTCAGCTGTCCAGAGAGCTTATTGCTCTTCTAGAAGACTTGAGTTCACTTCCCAATACCCACATCAGACAGCTCACAATGGTCTACAACTCTTAACTCCCAAGGGTCTGATACCTTCTTCTGACTAACATGGCACTCCCACACATGAGTGCAAACACACACACACACACACACTAAAAAAAAATTAAAATTTTTAAGAAAGTTAATTGACTGCAAAATGTATAATGTACAATGCACCATTGCTAACAGGTTTGGTCTATCACAATGTGGTATCATTTAGTCAGTTAATAATATAGAATTATGACATTTTCTTTCTGTTTTGAAGTAAATCAAAACAGATTTTAGAATTCAACAAAAATTAACTACCATCCTGAGAAGTCATTTAATTCTCTTAAGTCATAGTTTCCTTATTTATAGTAACTATGAAGAGATGTAAGTTACTGACACAGGAACAATCAATAGTTCCTGTTTTAATTGCTGGTTCCAAGTTATCTGCTGTCAACTTTTTGTTTGTTTTTGTTTTGCTTTGTTTTGTGTTTTCAAGGCAGGGTTTCTCTGAGTAACTGTTCTGGAACTCACTTTATAGACCAGGCTGACCTAGAATTTGGAAGTCTGCTTGCCTTTGCCTACGAAGTGCTGGGATTAAAGGTGTGCACCACCAGTGTCTAGTTCGCTGACAACATTTTTAATAGTCAGAAATCAGCCTTTCTAAGCAAAACTGTTCATACCATATCAGCTATCAAAAGTTTTTTTAAGGAACAGTTCTTAGAATCAGCAGACATAAATTCATGTGTTCTAACTCTGTGAACTGAGCTTGTCACAAAAAAAAATCTGCAAAATGCCAAATGAAGGTGGTTTTCATTCAGAAATAAATAAGATAATGTAAGTAATTGAAAGAAATGCTCCCTAAGCACTTTAATATGAAGTCATTTAAGTGTGTTGCTAGATTGACTCATGCCTGACACAATGCCTTTAATCTAATTAGCATGTATTTGTCATTTGCATATTTTCACATTGACAGATTGTATGTTTTTCACCTGCATATTTGAAATTTGGTTTATGTGTAATTGTTTGGTGTAGATTTTGAGCTTTTCCCTTATTGTAATAAGAAGAACATAATTATAAAATTGTAATATATTGTTGCTCCCTTTTTCATCTTGTTTTAGGAATGGAACATCACTAAACTTTCCATTGAGTATGACTCTGAGCCTTTTGGGAAGGAACGAGATGCAGCTATCAGGAAACTGGCCACTGAAGCTGGAGTGGAAGTCATCGTGCGCATCTCACACACACTGTACGACCTGGACAAGTAAGGCTGTGCCTTTTACTGCGAGAAAACCCATCTTAGACATTACGTTACCATCTTAGACGTTCCTAAGTACACTGTTGAGTGACATTAAGTACATACTCGAGTAAAGTTATGAAATGGAAATAATAGAATCAGAATTGTAGAAGACTTAAATGGGTGTGCACCAAGCCCCTGGCGTTTTACTTAGCTGCTATGATTTTTATTCATTCAGTTATAATACCAAAATTGTAGGCATAGTGCATAAGATAAAAATACTTAGCATTTCAGTTTTAAACTAAGAAATGCTATTTACTCATTTTTATTTGACTATTAACTCAACCATAACTGCCTTTCTGAGATGTCAGTATTATTACATTTATAGCTTGTTTGACACATCACCATAATTGACTTTGATATATTTTATGTGATTGTTATGTGTGTAATAGTTGGTCATTTTCTTTAGTTGAGATGAAAACTGAAGTAATATAACTACCCAGCTAGAGCCATCTGAACATGGTATTATACCCTGTCTGCCAGTGTGTTTATCAAAACACTATCCAGTTCCTGGGATGCTTTGGCTGGCAAAGATTCTGTGACCAAATTGAGCTTAGACTAGAAGTAACATGTGCTAAGAGTCTAGGAAGTTCATAAACTATGAGTTTACAGTTGACTTCTGGCATGAAATTGTCTTTATAAATATGAAAAGATCACAATTGATGTACCAATTAAATGATTTTACCTTTTAAACAAAACTTAATTCTGTAATTAACAACTAAATTTGCTTCTATTTGCAAGTGGGATGAAAAAAATCATGATTTGATTTAGACAAATGTCTTACCCTGTTGTTAACCTAGAAGTGCTGAGCTCTTTTGGCAATAAAATGTGCCTTTTAGTTTACCAGTTTTCTTAACTTGAATGAGTGGTTATAAGGAAGCAAAATAGGATAAGAGAAGTTGCTTCTAAGTGAGAAACTCAGCAATATTGTAAAATTAGTTTTTATTGGGTTGATTGTGAATACATACTCAAGGCTATTACACTTACATGTTATGTATAAAAATCCATGAGTTCCAGTTGGCTAGTAGATAATTAAGAGACACTTGATAGTGTCATTGTAACATCATTGCATTCATCAAAATTCATTATAGTCCTATGTATAATCTCAAGATACTAAACCAAAACAAACTTTACTTACAGCAGGAGACTAGCTTTCCTGATGGTTTCTTTCTGTAAACATAATAGATAAGAAGTATCAAGGTATAAAGAAAAGCACATGCTTGGGTTGAAGAAATACTTGATTAGCAATTTTACCAGTTATGTGATCTGTAAATGATAAAGCTGAATTTAACCTGTAATTGTAAGCAAATGGCTCGAGTGAAAAAGCAGAATTATTTTGAAACCTTGTCTAGACTTAATGCAGACCTTTGGAAGTGTTGCTGGCTGTCCTTTCCCTAGAAGTATAACTGGATTGGGTGTCTAGTGGTCATCAATAGCTACATGATGTACTTAAATCCAAATGACTTTGAACTTGGGGTACATGTATCCTTATCATAGACATTCCTCTTTACCCATGAGGAAGACATTCCAAAGCTCTGGTGGATGCCCAAAACCACCAGTTACTTAGAACCCTGTGTACACTGTGCTGTCTGTCTAAATATCACACCATGATAAAGGTTGGTTTGTAAACTGTAAATTATAGGAAGTTAACAATAGTATTGAAAAGTTAGAACAGTATGCTTCAATAAGTTACATGAATTTAGACATAATATTTTTGCAGCACAGGTTAACACAAGTAACTGAAAACATGGAAAACAAAAGCTCAGATAGGGGTTGCTCCTGCATAACAGATAACGCATGTTGAAGTCTTTAACAAGGGCATCACACAACAGAAAGCAGCAATATAGTCTTCATGAAAATTGATAAAGGAACTGGGGAGTCAGAGATGGAAAGATAAGTGGAGCAGATACATAGAATGAGAATGTCTGGAGACGGAAGGCACAGATGAGGGTTGTACTTAAGGAGAAACTGATGACTTGGGAGTTCTGCTACACAACTACTTTAGCCATAAAACAGTAACAGACTACAAAT